CTGCTGACACCCCAGCTGGCACAGTGTGTTTCTTGCCAACAACCAGCTTGTGCTTCACCTGAGTTAACATAATTTTTCTGTTGTTGAAATTGTTCATTTTGTTTTGGAGCCCAGTAATAACTACTGCTAGTAAAATGTCTTCACAAGTGAAAAAATAAAATGGGTGAAAAGTTCTGGAAAAAGTGGATTAGAAGAAAGTCGTTTATCATGCTGTAGGCTATCTAAATATGGTATGAGAGGATACAGGCCATAGGAGACATACACACGTTGAACTTCAAATAGAGTTGATGTTTTTCCAGGAGTTGATTAAGATTCTGCTTCACTTTACCTCTTTGGTTTTCATATTTTTTTTTGATACTGTTTTTGGCTACTAATATCACAGCAGTGTTGATGTTTCATCTCTGTGCATTGACACTTGATAAAACTTCTTTTGCTTTACAGCTTACTTAACATAATTTATTTGGTTAAAATGCTGCCCACATAATTTGCACTATTAAATTGCTGTTCTCTTTCTCACTAGGTATCTTGGTGATATTTCCTGAATAATTTGTATGAAAAAAGTGATTTTGTTGCTATACTTAATAGATTAAAATGTCTGAATATTGTAAAAATCATTGAACCAAATCTGAATTCTACCATAGTGTTCTACCTTTCAGCTCTCCAAGATAGGGTCCCTTTGGATAATTCATCAGAGCATCATTACTGAGCTTTGTACATACTCTGACACCCATGGTTGTAGCATTAAGTACTCTTTTTTTTCTCACCTGAGAAATATCTAGAACTTACTTTGTATAATAATATAGTGTGTTGATGCCTTCATTTTACTATTTAAATTTTATAGTATCTAGTGTGTACACTGGCTTTGTAAATCTTATGTCATACTCTTTATCTCAGAATTAGATACTGGAATAGAAAATACTACTGGATTTGAAAGTATTTTACCAGTAGTAAAGGTCATGGTTCTTTTTTTTTTTTTTGGTACCAGGAATTGAACTCAGAACCTTGAGCTTGCCAGGCAATTGCTATGCTATATCCCTGGCAAGGTCATGGTTCTGTTTAAGGAGTTTCAACTCTCCGTTCATATTGGATCAAATTAAGAGCTCTGCCGGTAAGTACAGCATCAATATGCTATTTACTTATATATATTTCAGGAACTGTTGACCTTCAGAGATGTGGCGATTGAATTCTCTTCAGAAGAATGGGAATGTTTGGACCCCACTGCATGGAAGTTGTATACAGAAGTGATGCTAGAGAATTACAGAAACATGGTCTTCCTTGGTGAGGTTTCCCTATAAAGTCCTAATCCAGAATGATTATTTAATTTTCATTCTTTTTTTTAGAGTATCTTTTAGGAGCTTCTGATTCACATCAAGTCCTGCTTTCAGCGAAAAAAATGGAGATTTCTTGGTATAGACAAGTGAATTTTCAGGACATTTATGCTTCTCTTTTGTGTCTTCTTCCTTAGATAGTATATATATCCTTCAATTTACATTTATAGTAAATTTAGTAATGTGCTGGTGTAAAATATTGTTGCTTATAATTTAAATGTCAGTTTCTGCCCCATAATGTTGCTTTCATAGTAGAATGAAGTGTAGCTCAGAATCTATAAATTAGAAATGTTTCCTATATAGTGTAATGTTTGTCTGAAAAGACATTTGAAGAAATAATGTTAGGGGCTGGGAATTTAGCTCAGCGGCACAGCGCCTGCCTGGCAAGTGCAAGGTCATGAGTTCGATTCCTGGTACTGGAAAAAAAAAACCCCAAAAACCAAGAAATAATATTATAAAATCTAGTTTCTGGGAGTATCTAAAGCAAGTGTCATGTTCCATTTTCTAATTGATAGGTCTAAGTGTCTCTAAGCCAAACCTGATCACTTTTCTGGAACAAAGGAAAGAAGCTCGGATAGTGAAGAGTCAAGGGGCAGCAGCCATTCCCCCAGGTACGAAAGAATTAATAAATCAGAGGAAATGGATGAAGGTCTAATAGTTGAAGGAGGAAGCCAGGCTTTAATATGTGAATTAAGAAGGAAGTGATTTTTCAGACGCTGAGGTTACCTCCCTTATATTCATTGTGCTCCTAATTCTTCCTAGCCTCTTTCTACCCTGTTGGTGATCTCCCATCCGTTCTTCTCCAAGACAGAGTTCTCTCTTTTACCCGTGAATGTCTCTATGATCTGTCTTTTCTTAATGCCTTGATGTTAATCAAATGTAATATATTAATGATATCATAAAGAAATTTCCAGGGCTGGGGATTTAGCTCAGCGGCAAAAGCGCTTGCCTGGCAAGCGCAATGTCGTGAGTTCGGTTCCTGGTACCGGAGAAAAACCAAAAAAAAAAAAAAGAAATTTCCATAATGCAGTTGACTTTTTTTATTCATTAAAATTGTCTCAAAAGAGTACTTTATGAATGATTATAATGGATATTATGTGAAATTCTTATCCCATATACTGAATATCAGTGAAGCAAAATGCATGGTCATCAGAGTATTTTATCTCAAATGGCATTATGCAGACTAATGTTTAATTTTTTTTTGTTTTTGTTTTTCTTCCGGTACCAGGAATCGAACTCAAGACATTGCGCTTGCCAGGCAGGTGCTTTGCCGCTGAGCTAAATCCCCAGCCCCCAGACTAATGTTTAAATAGTGTATTTATATTTATTTAGGTTTACAAAAGTTAAATTTTCTCTTTTTATTGTTTTACAATTTTATTTTTCATGATTCAATTTTTAGTATTCCCTCATCAATTAATCTTATTACATATATTGATAACTTTCATCTTTATAGGACATTCTCCTTTGACTCGTGTCAGTTTTTGAGTTGAAAGTAAGAAATTTATACTGCTTTAATGTTACTTATTTCTTGTAATTATTTTTCTACTTTAATTGGCTTTTTGTTCATTGATTTTTATATTGGCATATTTTTCCTTTTTATCTTACGTAGTTTTTAATATGTCATTACACTGGATTATATAAAAAGATACTAAATTGCAAAAAACTTTGGTACTGGTAGCAGTCAACTTGAATTCCATATTTGAAATATTATATTTATATCTTCAGCATTGTTATTGATGCCATAATTACGCTGTATATAAATTAAAGTTATTGTATTGTGATGTTTTGTATCCTTTTATGTTTCACATTGTACAGCAAACTTGAGAATGGTCTTTCTACCTTTTAGTACAGAGTGCTGTATGTGTATATAAATTTCTCTGTGAGGTATAAAATTTAATATGACTTGTATTGCTATGCAATATTATTTTTCAGTGGGATGGTATCTCTTTTGTATTTTTTCTAAATTTCTAATGATACTGAGCTATTTGAGCATTTCTGTATCTTGGGAAGTATTAACTTCTGTTTTCAATAGAAAGCCAATTTTGCTGGATGCCGTATTCTTTGCAGTTTTTGTTTTTATCAGCACTTTGTGTTTTCCCTAATTCTTTCATTTGAAAGAATCTGCAGAGCAATCTACTTATAGTCACATAGAAGGAAGGTTACAGATGACACAATGTTTTGCTTAACATGTATGAGTGCCTGGGTTTGATCCTCAGGAACAAAAATAAAAAATAAATATACCCCATGGAAATGTAGTTATTATGTACTGCAAACATGCACTAATAAAACATAAAAAATTTTTAAAAATACCGTAAGACCTGTAGACAAAGGAAAATAAGTCATTATATTGACGAGATCTGCAATGCAGTTACCTACCACATTATTTACAATAACCATGATATGGACTCAATCAAAGTTCTCTTCAGTGAATGAGTAACTAAGAATGCAATCAATATTCAGCCATAAAAACACATAACCCTGAAATTTGATGCACTGCGGGAAACATGCAGGATTTTATAAGTGAAATAATCTTGATATAGTTAGTTATTGAATAATCTCAATTATATGTGAATCTTAAATGAATGTGTGTTATTTTCATGCACATAGAGAATAAAATGGGGTTACCAGTTCTATGATTTTTGGAGAATGAGTTGAGGTTGTATTAGACTACAAAATTTTAAATAACAAAGTTTAAAAATCTCAGGCAATATACTATATAATATGAAGAGTATTGTTAGTATGTTACATTTATAAGAAACACTCATCAAATATATGGAGTGTTACTAGCATAGAAATGACAATTATATAAGCTAATGCATAATTTGAACATGTTATGCTGTGCTAGACATGATTGTTGCCTTTCAAATCTATTTTAGTATGCATCTATCCTAGAATTATATTTGTGATTTTTCAGTTAAAAAGTTTATCCACATTTCTTAAGACTCCAGTCTATCCTATACTTGTTGACTATTTGTGGAACTGTGCTCACTTAAATAATCTAATAATTACTTAGATTTAGTCTCAAAGAGCCTGAATTGTCATATAAAGTATACCTGTTACCTTCCCCTTGGTGTTTAAAGGCAAATACAAATCAGTTTTTAGATATCTCCACAAAGCCATAGATGTGTCTTATGTATCCTGCTCTTCTGTTTCCTAGGGTAGAAGTAGTAGATTGGGAGTCTTTCATAGTTATCCAGGGAGGAATAGGCAAGAGAAAGAGTTGTGGTTGACAAAATTAACTCATACATGCCCATACCTTTTTAGAGTGGTACTCAATAGGATTGCTATACACTCTTAACAGATTTTGAGTGTTCTCACAAAGGGAATCTGATCAGTATTTTATTGTTCAGCTCATGTGTCTATGACAAAGCGAAGACTTTTGTGTTTAGTACTCTGTTATCTTACTCAAGTGTTCCACTTACTCTGATTTTAACTCTGAGATTTGTAAAACTACTGACATATGTTTAGTAACTGGAATAATTATTATTTTCACTTTCTCAGGTATGACTTCTCATCATACCCAAGGATTTTCATCAGAGCCAGAGGGACATTGTTCCTTCCAGAAAGTGGCAAATCAGAGATACAAAAATTGTGGCCATAGAAATTTACAGCTTAGAAAAGAATGGGAAATGGTTGATAATTGTGAAGGTGCAAAATCATTTTGCAATGGACATAACCAGTTGTGGACAGCTAAAGACAACAGAAACTTCACTGTCGACAGTGACCAAAAATATGTAACATCTAAGAAGATATCTGAATGCATGCCATTTACTCTCAGTGAGCCATGTGATCCCCTAAGTAAACATTCACATCAAATTGTGAAACCTAACTTTT